CAAGCATACACACCCCATCCTCGTCAGCGCCCTCCGAACCCGTGGCCAGTTGAGCCCGTTTCTCGGCCTTTGCACGCGCACGCAACACCTTCGTGTTGAGCACGCGGTCTTCTCTGTACGCACACAGCGCCTCTCTCACGGGTGGGGTGGAGGTTGCTTCCATCGTCCGCATAATCCACTCCACCAACAGCCTCAGATCCTCGTCCTTGGCCACCATACGTGACTGTGATAGGCTAATCAGCACGCACGCGACCATATGCGCGCGTGTGTTGTGCTTCCCCCGGGTATCACTGCCGCTGCCGGTACGGTGTGTGGGTGTGGATGTGTGTGATTGAGCGTGGGCGTGGGCGTGTGTACTCTTGCGCGTGTGCCGCGGTGTGCGTGCTCGCGCGTGTGTACGTTCTTTGTGCGGGGTATGGGAATCGGCGCCTGCACTCGTACTTGCCATAGCCCTAGTACTAGTACTAGTGCCTTTGTCGGGGGTGCCATGGCTTGCACTGAACTCACTCGCACCGTCGCTGGCGCTCTCCCACACATCCTCCGGTGACTCCTGCTGCGGCTGACTGTGTGCTGCGGTGGGGTGCTCCGCTGTAACCCCACCCGCAGGCGTGTCCTGTGTCCACTTCCTCTTCCCCTTATCGCGGGTGTCAAGCGGAGCGGCCTCAGACCCTTCCCGTGCGTGTGCGTGTGTGTGTTGAGGTGTGGGTGGTGGTGGTGGTTCCTCGTGCGTGTCGCGTGTGCCTGTGTCGTCTTCTTCCTCCTCCTCTGCGTCGCTGCCCACGCCCAGCTCGGTGCACAGACGCATGAACTGCGGTAAGAAAGACGTGAGTGATGAGTGGAACCGATGGTAAACGCGTGCGCAGGACAGGCATGTGTGTGTTTATGGTAAACGCGTGCGCAGGACAGCCATGTGTGTATTGATGGTAAACGCGTGCGCAGGACAGATCTCTCTGTGTGTGTGTGTTTGTACAAGCACGAGCTGTGGGCATGCAAGGGAATTGCAAGGTCAATGGCGATGGTGGATAGGTAAACAGGCAAACAACTTGGAGAATAGGTGTGCTTTGAACAACTATGGCGATATAGAGGTACACAATAACTGATGGCATTAGTGAACCTATGTTTAAATTTGAGTGTAAGTGCGAGTATGAGTAAGTCCTATGGGATCCGAAGAACTGCTTCCAGCGCTTAATTGGCGTAGGCTTATTTGGCGCGTGCTTATTTGGCGTGCGTGTAAATATTCTTACCTCATTGTTGGTTCCCAGCGCCTTCTGAATCCACGCGCCTTCTTCTGCAAAGCCACCAAACGCCTGGGAAAAGGAGGATGCCTGTGGGACAGAACGGTGGGGTATGTTACTTAAACCAGATATGTTTGTAACTCATCTACCTCTTCACCCACTTATAGTTGTTTGTATGGAATAGGAGTGGACACTACAACACCTATCCATTACGTCCTACTGACTGGACCTCTTTGTTTTTATTGAACTCTCCACCCACCCACAAGAAAAAAAGGAAAAAAAGAAACAGACGAAGTGCATATGAAGGTGCCGCGGAGAAATGTTTATACAAACACAACCAACTAACTGCCTCGTTATACTGACACCTCTACATCAACTCCTGGGTAAGCGAACACACCTGATTGCACATACAGACCCCTGCACCCACACATTGAGAAGAATCGAGCACACACACCTTCCCGTTAATTCAATACTAAACGCTTGAACAACAACCCCAACACACTTTCGCATCCATACGGCTACGCCATATATGGTCTGACAGAGATAAACAGAGAGACGACACACAACCACGTTTCCCTACAGCGGTACGAGAACATGTACACTCATATATGGTCAAAACCAGTACAAATTTAAGACACCACACACACACATATATATATGTATATGTATATAAATATAAATATAAATACAAATATATATCTACACACATATTTATAAATATATATATATAAATATAAATATATATATATATATATATATATATATATATATATAATATATATATATAGTATATAATATATATATATGTGTGTGTGTGCGTATATATATATATATATATATATATATATATATATATATACCTTTCCCTCATTAGCACGCATTGTCGCCTCCTTCTCGTCCGTCACCAGACCCACTTCCACCAAATGCAACGCCGCAAACAGCACACCATGTGTCAGCGTATATTGCAGTCGCGAGGGCTCTCTGATACTAATCTCGTGCTTCTGCTGCATTTCATCATCCTCATGCTTATCCTTATACTTATCCCTGTGTTCCTGCTTTATCTTCGCCTCGTTTACTACGGCTTTTGCGAGCGTTGTGGGGTCTGTGGGAGTGTGGCCGTCTGTGGCTGACTTCTTCGAACGTTCGCGAGCCTCATCCTCCTCCTATGAGTGCAAGGAACATCGAAATTTGTAGGTATTTACACTTGATGTAGGTACAATTAGGACCATACTTGGTAAAGCCAAAGTATGCGCTAGCGTTTTACCACGGATACTGCGGTAGATACACTCAGATGTGTGGGCCACGAGTGTTATCGTCGAGCACGCCTCACCGCACGCGATATAAGTATTCAACAGTACATTCATGCCAAAGTACGCGCAGATAAAAACAATGGATGCTGATAAATTGTACACAGAACAGACACCTAGCTACCCAGACACATAGGCCCCCCACCTACACACATCCACACCTCCTCGCACACACACACACTCAAACAGACACACACACATACATACACCCACACATACACACACAGTCGCTCTCACACACTCACACACCTCTTGTAGCACCGCTCTCTGATGCAGCTGTATCGTCCGCACAAAAACATCCAACAACACCGTGTGTAGCACAGGCGAGTCTAGTAGTAGTGTGACGGGGGCAAAGGCCTGGGTGAAGGCGGGGGGTGTCTTGGTTGGGCGGTGGGAGGTGCGCTGCAGCCCATTGGCTTTAAGTTTCTCGTTGCGCAAAGCTCGTGCTTTCTCTGCGGATTGACGGTCCTGGGTGATTGGGAGGGGGGGGGAGGTGGAGATGGGGATTAGCAGGGATGGGGTATGTATGTCTGTACGGATATGTTTACTGAAAGGTATTGAGGAGACGTTGTCGGTAGTGGTGATTTACATGCATAGGACTATAATTAGGTATATGTACGCAAGAATAAGTGATTGATACAGACTTGTTCATTCGACTAGATGAGCGTATGAATGATTAAACGCCATATACGTATAAATCACAAAAATAAATATATACGGATCAAATAAAAAGTAAGTTTATTCACATACATATACATACATTTATATATATATATATATATATACATACATACATGTATATATATATATATATATATATATGTATATATATATATATACATACATACATACATGTATATATATATATATATATGTATATATATATATAAATATATATCTGTATGTATGGATGTATGTATATATATATACGTACATGTATATATATATATATATATGTGTATATATATATGTGTATATATATATACATATATATATATAATTATATATATGTATATATATAAATGTATATATATATATATACTATAGTATATATATATGTATATATATATATATATATATATATATATATATATATATATATATATATATGTATATGCATGTGTGTGTGTGTGTGAGAGAGAGAGAGAGAGAGAGTGTGTGTGCGTGCGTGTATGTGTACATCAAGAGCACACTCGTTGCTCCGGAAGACATATATCTCTATGAATATTCTTACCTTTGTATCAAAATGGTAAAAGAAGGGCGAGTACTCCTCCCAGGTGCTTGGGTCGATGTTGTATGTGCCGCTCTCCTTGGTTGCCTGCGGCGCCGAGTAGGTCGCCAGCGACTTCAACTCCTCATCAAACGCCTTATCCTCTGCCAATTCAGGTTTGATATTGGACACCAGTATACTGCAGATGCAAAGCGGTGATATAATGAGAGTTGGTGTGGATAAGAAAGCGAAACGGC